AGATGTATATGATTCACACACACACACACCTACACGCATATTTATGACAGATATATTATCATAGATTTGAAAGGGACCCCTAAAGAAGAACAATTCCAAAGTAGGCAAACCAGACAATCTCCACATCAACACTGACAAAGAAACAGCAAGAAATACTGTTTACCCACAAGCATAAAGAAATCACATATATTAGAAACCAATATTTTCTCATTACTTTTCCAGATCACCAGACTGGGCCACAGCAACGAGTGGCAGGGGATGGCTAGTAATCTATAAAAGACAAAGCATGCATACAACAACATTGATGTCCGCTTGTACTATAAAGGCTGTTGGGAGGTGAAGTGGCCCTCTGTGATATCACTGGGAAGGAAAGGTGGCAGTGTATAGATAGAAAGGATTAGCTATTGGCCTCTATGTAAGTATGGATGCAATACTAAGATGCAGTCACAAGAGGGCAGTGTATAGATAGAAAGGATTAGCTATTGGCCTCTAAGTAAGTATGGATCCAACACTAAGATGCAGTCACAAGAGGGCAGTGTATAGATAGAAAGGATTAGCTATTGGCCTCTAGGTAAGGATGGATGCAATACTAAGATGCAGTCACAAGAGGGCAGTGTATAGATAGAAAGGATTAGCTACTGGTATCTAGGTATGTATAGGTGCAATGCTCAGATGCAGTCACAGGGCAGTATATAAAGAATTAGCTATTGGTCTCTAGGTATGTATGGATGCAATGCTGAGATGCAGCGACAAGAGGGCAGTGTATAGATAGAAAGGATTAGCTACTGGCCTCTTAAGTATGTATGTAATACCCAGATGTAACCACAAGAGGGTAGTATATAGATAGATTGGATTAGCTACTGGTATCTAGGTATGTATGGGTGCAATGCTCAGATGCAATCACAGGGCAGTATATAAAGAATTAGCTACTGGTCTCTAGGTATGTGTGGATGCAATGCTCAGATGCAGTCACAAGAGGGCAGTGTATAGATAGAAAGGATTAGCTATTGGCCTCTTAAGTATATATGTAATACCCAGATGTAACCACAAGAGGGCAGTATATATTTATTTATTTTATTTACTTTACTTATATCGCTGTTCTCAGCCCGAAGGCGACTCACAGCGGTTCACAACAAATAAGAACAGAAAAAATATATATTAAATATATATATTGAACGGATGAACTACTGGTATCTAGGTATGCATGGACGCAATGCTCAGATGCAGTCACAAGAGGGCAGTGTATAAATAGAAAGGATTAGCTACTGGTCTCGAGATGTGTATGGATGCAATGCACAGATGCAGTCACAAGAGGGCAGTGTATAGATAGAAAGGATAAGCTTTTGATCTCTAGATATGTATGCATACATATGTTCAGATGCAGTCACAAGAGGGCAGTGTAGAAAGGATTAGCTACTGGTCTCTAGGGATGTATGGATGCAACGCTCAGATGCAACCACAAGCGGGTAGTATATAGATATAAAGGATGAGCAACTGTCTATAGGTCTGTATGCAGCACTCAGGTGCAACCACAAGAGGGCAATATGTAGTTAAGTATTAGCTACTGGTAGGTGAAATGGCCAAACCAAAAAACAACATAGCCTTCAAGGCCACAATCAGGACAGTCACCCTAGTAGGAAGTAAGCATAATGAGCATTTGGAACAGAAAAGCACATTGGATATCTCTTGCCAGTTCCTGAATGCATATTTCCATCATTTGCTGAGAGGGCTTCATTGCATTTCCGCAGACATAGTTGTGGATCCATACAGTTATGAAACACAGACTGAGATGTAGGACCTTGGCTCAGATTCCTGTTGGTGTTTCCAACAAACGTGAAGAAAATGCTTGTTCTCAGAATATTGCAGGCACCAAACACGCCCAAACAGGTGGCAACGTACTTTTTGTGTCTTCCCAAACGCCAAAACACTGTACCTAACCACACTGGAAGGATTGTTTCCTTCATTCTTTAGTGCGGTTGCGAAATGTTTTGTTTCACAACCTTTGTAAGTGCACCGAATCAACATCATGTGCTGCTGGTGACTCAAGTTTTGGAGGTTCGGAGAAGACTGCGCTACACTAGGCTCTCCCTAAGTATCTGCACTAGCTTGTCAAACCAGAAATCATGATCAGTGATGTATCACTTAGATGTTATAGTGCCCAGAGATGAAGTAGAGGAAATTATATTTATTAAAAGGCCTAAAATTCAGGTGTGTTGTAAGAATGTGTAAACGTTACCATTTTGCAACCATTTCTCTCCCAACTGCCACTGCCTCTGCCTCGAAGGGAAAGAAGAACAGCAACCACAGCTCTATTATGCAATATCCAGTAGTACAGCAGTTCTCAATCTGGGGGTCACCTGGCCATTTTGGAGGGGTCGCGAGGCCACCTCAATTGGCCCCGCCCCAAGGGTACGGGCCAGGCGAGGGCTCCTTCACACGTGCAAAGCCCACCTCGCCTGCCTTGCACTCTCACCATCCAGCGAGGGTGCAGGGCAGGCGAGATTGGGGGTCATCACAACATGGTTGGGGGTCACCACAACATGAGGAACCATATTTAGGGGTCCCGGTGTTAGAAAGGTTGAGAGCCACTGCTCTATGCAGTCATGCCGGTCACATGACCATGGAGGTGTCTACAGACAATGCTGGCTCTTCGGCTTAGAAATGGAGATGAGCACCACACCCCAGAGTCAGACAGGACTGGACTTAATGTCAGAGAAAAACCTTTACCTTTACCTAGACCAGTGGTTCTCAATGTTCCTAATGCCGCGACCCCTTAATACAGTTCTTAATGTTGTGGTGACCCCCAACCATTAAATTATTTTCACTGCTACTTCATAATTGTAATTTTGCTACTGTTATGAATCATTATGTAAATATCTGATATGCAGGATGTATTCTATTCGAGTGTTATGGGAGGATTGATTTTGTCATTTGGAAGTTGTAGTTGCTGGGATTTATAGTTCACCTACATTCAAAGAGCATTCTGAACTCTACCAATGATGGAATTGGACTTTTTTTTTGTCGTGTCAGGAGCGACTTGAGAAACTGCAAGTCGCTTCTGGTGTGAGAGAATTGGCCGATGCAAGGACGTTGCCCAGGAGACGCCCGGATGATTTGATGTTTTTATCATCCTTGTGGGAGGCTTCTCTCATGTCCCCACATGAGGAGCTGGAGCTGATAGAGGGAGCTCATCCGCCTCTCCCCGGATTTGAACCTGTGACCTGTTGGTCTTCAGTCCTGCCAGCACAGGGCTTTAACCCACTGTGCCACCGGCACACAGAACTCCCATGACCAATGGAAAATACTGGAAGGGTTTGGTGGGCATTCACCTTGAGTTTGGGAGTTGTAGTTTGCCTACACCCAGAGAGCACTGTGGATTCAAACAATGATGGATCTGGACCAAACTTGGCACGAATATTCAATATGTCCAAATGCGAATACTGGTGAAGTTCGAGGAAAATAGACCTTGACATTTGGGAGTTGTAGTTGCGGGGATTTACAGTTCACCTACAACCAAAGAGCATTCAGAAGCCCACCAACGGTAGAATTAGTCCAAACTTCCCACACAGAATTCCCATGACCAACAGAAAATACTTTCTGTGATGGTCTTTGGTGACCCCTCTGACACTCCCTCCCGACCCCCAGGTTGAGAACCACTGGCATAGAGTGTTTGAATGGCATTAAATGGCAGTATATACTCAGTGTGAGAGTCTACTGTAGTTTGTTGTACTGTTGTTAGCATGTACATATTGGGGCTTGTGTTTACAATGTTCCATTAGAGTTGGACCCAAAGAATCCAGGAATACCATGTAAGAGACCTTCTGTAGGTAATTTCTGGCTGAGTTTTGAATTTTTTCTAAGGGCAGGTGAGCAAAGGGCATGGGTGTTGCGTGCATGAACGGGCCTCTTTTCCGGGATCGGCCTCAACGCAACTGATTTTGTGGCGAGCCCAACCTTGCTTCAGAGCGTGACTCAGAGCAGCAGTTCAGGAGGAAAGGAAAAGAAAAACCAAGTGGAAGTGAAACACTGGCAGCAACGTAGAACGGAGCTTTCAAAACACTCCATGGCAAGCACCGTCTTCATAGCCAACGTCTGACCACTGCTTGGGCATGGAATGGAAGACGTGGCTCCACTTGCCTCTATGCTTCCCCCCCAGGAAAATACCTGCAAGAGCTCAGTGACAAGCACCAGATCAGGAGGGCTGGATCCCGAGAGGTAACTGGCCTCCTTATCATGGCTTCGGGGGAAAGTCAAGCTGAGAAAAGGGAGTTGTCGTTCTCCGTTGCTTTCTGTCACAGTCAAACAGAGGACTTCTCTGTCTCTGGGAGAAACGGTAAGTGGAATAATTTATTGTCACTTATATGGAGAGAGATTAGCATAGAAATGTTTCCTCTATTACTGCGAATGGCTGTGTGCTGATTCTTATGTGCATTTCAATGCTTTTGCAATACCTTTGGGTGGTTCAGCTGCATATTGAATGAATATCATTAACCTTGGGATATTTCATTCCCCGAAAGTTACATTACATTGTGCCCATCATTCATGCTGAGCCTTCTTTACTACTTTTCTGGCCCAGCTTACTTGTCCGAATGCATCCACCCCTATGTCCCACCTCGTAATGTAAGATCATCCGGGGAGGCCCTGCTCTCGCTTCCGTCCACAGCACAGGGATGAGAGACAGGGCCTTCTTGGTTGTGGCCCCCTGCCTATGGAACACACTCCCAAATGAGGTAAGATCCGCTCCCTCCCTCCCGGCTTTTAGAAAAAAAATTAAAATCATAGTTTTGGGACCAGGCCTTCGGGCAGTAGAAGTAAATGTATGCAGCATTTCAGAAAGACAATGACTGGAACGGCAATTCGATGGACGAGACTTATTGCTTTAATTATTGTTTTATTGCTTGTACATCCCACCTTGTAATCTAAGATCATCCGGGGAGGCCCTGCTCTCGCTCCCGTATACAGCACAGGGATGAGAGACAGGGCCTTCTTGGTTGTGGCCCCCTGCCTATGGAACACACTCCCAAATGAGGTAAGATCCGCTCCCTCCCTCCCGGCTTTTAGAAAAAAATTAAAATTATGGTTTTGGGACCAGGTCTTTGGGCAGTAGAAGTAAATGTATGCAGCATTTCAGAAAGACAATCATGGAACGGCGATTCGATGAACGAGACTGTTTTATTATTTTAATGATTGTTTTATTGCTTGTGGATGTATTGTTTTTAACTTGATTTATGCCTAATTGTAGTGCATAATTGTAACTGTTTGTACTGGCATTGAATTTTGCCATTACTTATGTGTAAACCGCTTTGAGTCCCCTCGGGGTGAGAAAAGCGGTATACAAATACTGTAAATAATAAATAATAATAACACTATTCTTTGTAGGGTTTCAGAATGGGCTGGTGCTCCTGGTCCTTACAGCTCACCAGGCCTGTTTTTCCACGCCATTCGATATCAATCTGTGGTCAGATAGGCTGAGAAACCTGGGGATCGAGGTAAGGTTCCACCTATTGCTGAGACCTGAAGAACAAAAAGAGAGTGGTTTGAGGAATGTCACCAAAACTGTGACTTGTTCTGGGCACCATAATTTGAGAAAGAGATTGAGAATCTAGAACAGTGGTTCCCAACTTGTCAGGTTGTAGCAAGGACATATAAAACCTTTATGTGGCCCAAGATAAGTTGGAGAATGGTCCGTGGTCAAAGTGGTCCCTGGTCAAGTGGTCCCTTGTCAAAGTGGTCCTTGGTCAAGTGGTCCCTTGTCAAAGTGGTCCCTGATCAAGTGGTCCCTGGTCAAAGTGGTCCCTGGTCATGTGGTCCTTGATCAAAGTGGTCCCTGGTCAAAGTGGTCCCTGGTCAAGTGGTCCCTGGTCAAAGTGGTCCTTGGTCAAAGTGGTCCCTGGTCAAAGTGGTGCCTGGTCAAGTGGTCCCTGGTCAAAGTGGTCCTTGGTCAAAGTGGTCCCTGGTCAAAGTGGTCCCTGGTTAAGTGGTCCCTGGTCAAAGTGGTCCTTGGTCAAAGTGATCCCTGGTCATGTGGTCCTAGATCAAAGTGGTCCCTGGTCAAAGTGGTCCTTGGTCAAGTGGTCCCTTGTCAAAGTGGTCCCTGATCAAGTGGTCCCTGGTCAAAGTGGTCCCTGGTCATGTGGTCTTGGTCAAAGTGGTCCCTGGTCAAAGTGGTCCCTGGTCAAAGTGGTCCCTGGTCAAAGTGGTCCTTGGTCAAAGTGGTCCCTGGTCAAAGTGGTCCCTGGTCAAAGTGGTCCCTGGTCAAAGTGGTCCTGGTCAAAGTGGTCCCTGGTCAAAGTGGTCCCTGGTCAAAGTGGTCCCTGGTCAAGTGGTCCTGGTCAAAGTGGTCCCTAGTCAAGTGGTCCTGGTCAAAGTGGTCCCTAGTCAAGTGGTCCCTGGTCAAGTGGTCCCTGGTCAAGTGCTCCTGGCCAAAGAGTGACTCCTGGTCAAAGTGGTCCCTGGTCAAAGTAGTCCCTGGTCAAGTGGTCCCTGGTCAAAGTGGTCCTTGGTCAAAGTAGTCCCTGGTCAAGTGGTCCCTGGTCAAAGTGGTCCCTGGTCAAGTGGTCCTTGGTCAAAGTGGTCCTTGGTCAAAGTGGTCCCTGGTCAAGTGGTCCCTGGTCAAAGTGGTCCCTGGTCAAGTGGTCCCTGGTCAAGTGGTCCCTGGTCAAGTGGTCCCTGGTCAAAGTGGTCCCTGGTCAAGTGGTCCCTGGTCAAAGTGGTACTTGGTCAAAGTGATCCCTGGTCAAAGTGGTCCTTGGTCAAAGTGGTCCCTGGTCAAAGTGGTCCCTGGTCAAGTGGTCCCTGGTCAAAGTGGTCCCTGGTCATGTGGTCTCTGGTCAAGGTGGTCCCTGGTTAAAAAAAGGTGGAGAACCACTGATCTAAAATGTGTCCAGAAAAGGGAGACCAAAATGTTCAAAGGCCTGGAAACCATGAATCCCTGTGAGGAGCTGGGGATGCTTAGCTTAAAGAAGGTTATATATATTTGTATATATGTGTACATATGTGTGCTGCTTGCGTATATATATGTGGTTTTGTGCATGCATTGTAATGTATTTTTATTTTTTGTCTTTTAAAGTCTCTTCTGCTGTGTTTTTCAGTGTTTTATGAGTAATGGTCACTTGTTGGCCTGATAGGTGTATTATGTCCAAATTTGGTGTCAGTTCATCAGGTGGTTTTTGAGTTATATTAATCCCACAAATGAACATTACATTTTTATTTATATAGGATTTGTGTTGCACCCCAGGCCTGGAAAACCCTATGACCACAGCACCACACAAGATTCCAGAATATAAGCAAATAGTTTATTGTAAAATATATCAAAAGTATAGGAAAAATCAGGAACAGAAAAAGAAGAAATATATCCAAAAACGGTTTAGCAATAAGCAATAACCCAACCCAAATGTCTCAAACAGATTCAAATACAGTCCATGGATAGCCAGAAATTACAAGAACAGCTGAAGTCCACAAGCAAAAAGTATCCTTAGAAAAACCTGATCATGAATACAAAAATGGGAACATAGAAACTTCCAGTATACTCGAATCCCAAGACCAAAAACTTGACTTGAAACATGGACCAGGAACACAGGCCTAGCTTCTCCCTCCAAACGCTACGTTGCCTGAACTAACTTTAAAGTAACCAACTTGCCAATTAAAAGCCACCCATGAAATCATTTAGTCTCCCATGACATTTCTCCCCAACTTCCCTAGACAAACGCTCTATCCTTTGATGCCTGTTGTCTGCTCTGATCTGTAAACAAAGGCCTGTTTTGATTTCCGTAAGTGCAGTAGACTCATTCAATCCATGCAATTTACATTTAGGAGTTGATCTGATGCATTTGACTAACCATGGGATTCAGGATAGACTTTGCTACTGAATGCAGACATAATGATAATGATCGTATCATTATCCAAACAGATGTCTGTTGATCAGTGGAAACATCTAATCCAACATGCCGTTTTGGAGCCAGAAGTGAGAAACTACTTATTCTACAACTCCAGGGCTTTTGGAATATCCATTGCTGTGGTAAGAAACATGGAGCATGCCAGATATTGATGAGAACATATATGTTTCATTTCTGATCATATTATTTATCATTAAAAGATATGATCAGAGTTTTAGCGTTGGGTGCCATCTGTATGCAGATGACACCCAACTCTACTACTCATTTCCACCAAACTCCAAGGAAGCCTCCCAGACCCTGAACCAGTGTCTGACTGCTGTGATGGACTGGATGAGGGCTAACAAGTTAATCCAGACAAGATAGAGGTCCTCCTGGTCAGTTGTGGGACTGACCGGGGTATTGGGTGGCAACCTGAGCTCGACAGGGTTACAATCCCCCTGAGGGCGCAGGTCCGTAGCTTGGGGGTCCTCCTGGTCAGTTGTGGGGCCGACCGGGGTATTGGGTGGCAACCTGTGCTCGACGGAGTTATACTCCCCCTGAGGGCGCAGGCCCGTAGCTTGGGGGTCCTCCTGGTCAGTTGTGGGGCCGACCAGGATATTGGGTGGCAACCTGTGCTCGACAGGGTTACACTCCCCCTGAGGGCACAGGTCCGTAGCTTGGGGGTCCTCCTGGTCAGTTGTAGGGCCAACCAGGATATTGGGTGGCAACCTGTGCTCAACGGGGTTATACTCTCCCTGAGGGTGCAGGTCCGTAGCTTGGGGGTCCTCCTGGTCAGTTGTGGGGCCGACCGGGGTATTGGGTGGCAACCTGTGCTCGACGGGGTTATACTCCCCCTGAGGGCGCAGGTTCATAGCTTGGGGGTCCTCCTGGTCAGTTGTGGGGCCGACCAGGGTATTGGGTGGCAACCTGTGCTCGACAGGGTTACACTCCCCTTGAGGGCGCAGGTCCGTAACTTGGGGGTTCTCCTGGACTCAACGCTGTCACTTGATGCTCAGGTGTCGGTGGTGGCCGGGAGAGCCTTTGCACAACTTAAACGCGTACGCCAGCTGTGACCATACCTTGTGAAGTCTGACTTGGCCAGCGTGGTCCATGCCTTGCTTACACCCAGATTGGACTATTGCAATGCGGTCTACGTGGGGTTGCCCTTGAAGACGGCCCAGATGCTCCAACTGGTACAACGGGCGGCAGCCAGGCTCCTTACTGGAGCAAACTATATGGAACATACAACATCCCTTTTCAAACAGCTTCACTGGCTGCTGATAAGTTGCTGAGCCAAATTCAAAGTGCGGGTTATGACCTGTAAAGCCCTAAACGGTTCAGACCCCACCTATCTTTGCAATCGCATCTCCCTTTATGAACCAGCGTGAACGTTAAGATCTTCCGGGGAGGCCCTCCTTTTGCTTCCACCACCATCACAAGCGAGAGAGAGGGCCTTCTCAGTGGTGGCCCCCCGCCTCTGGACCGCCCTTCCTGGAGAAATAAGACAGTGCCCATCCCTACCCTCCTTTCGTAAGAGCCTGAAGACCTGATGGTTTAAACAAACCTTTGAGAATGACTAGTTCTAGCTCTGCCCCAGATACTTTTGAAATCGACCATATCTTTTTCTACCAGTTACCCAGGTCACTTTCTTCTATGTAAATGTATAGCCATAGACTTTACCTAATTTCCCGGGCCCTCTAAAATTGCACTAGCCTGGCCTGACCTTTTAAACGGCCTTGAAGAGGCAGGATAATTTTAAATATATGTGCTATTGTGCTTTTTAATGCTTATATTGTGTTGTGGCACAAACATATCTTCCATGACATCTTGTAATTATCTTTGTTAAATGAAGACAATGGAAATCTTGCTGCTGTGCCAAAAAATGTATATCGTTTCTCTCTCTTCGTCATTTCAGGTTCTCTACATGATTCTCTGGGTCAATCTTTATTCCACACTAAAGGCATTTTCCGTAGGACCTTCCTGGGAAGTTGGCATCATAGTCACTGTAATGGCCTTAGTGGCCGCTGTGGTTGTCCGACTCGTAATCCATCGATGCCAAAGCAAGGTAAGAAGACATCGGATGTGTCTTGAGCTGTGGCTTCCATGATGATGCTTGTTTGGTACGATTCTCTCTGATTTGCTATGGTCATAGTGTTATGAATGGATTGAATGAATTGAATGAATTGCATGTTTGGGGTCTAGTTGAGGACTATAAAAGTCTAGCAAGGCTGATGACACCATTCTAAAAATAGTACTTGGGAAACTGCATTGTGGAGAACATAGGATGTGAAGAATAGCTGCCCTGAGTCCCTTAGTCACCTCGAGTCCCTTCAGGGAGATAGGGCGGGCTATAAATAAAGCATTATTATTATTATTATTATTATTGACACAAAAGCACAGTATGTCACAGCAAACAAGATCTATATACTTGATTTCGTATCACAAAATCACAAGTCGAACTATTATTATTATTATTATTATTATTATTATTATTATTATTATTATTTGAAACACAAGAAGATGAGTCCACAGCAGGCAAGATCACTGCTGGCTGTTGTATTGGATCACATGTCGGACTGTGTGTTGTATCGGCAAACAATGCGTGCAGATCCCAGTAAGGTGGCCTTCTGCAGCTGGCAGATGGTAAGATGGCAATTTTGTCAGCTCCTATTGTGCTTAAGTGCAGGCCAAGGTCTTTAGGCACTGCACCCAGTGTGCCGATCATCACTGGGACTTCCTTGACTGGCTTGTGCCAGTTCGAAGTTTAAATCCTCATATCATGTCAGTTTTTCCAGTTGTTTCTCTTCAATCCTGTTGTCACCTGGGATTGCGACATCAACAATCCATACTATTGGAGTCGGTGTGTCTACTTCTTTCTCTGAAAGTGCCTGTTCTACTCTGTTCCACTTAGAACGGATTAAAAAACATTTTTAAGGTTCAAAAAGTACACATGTCAATAGCATCAACGTGGGAGAGGAACTCCTTGGAGGCTTCTTCAAAGCTTCCCAGGAAGGCTAGACTGGCACCCTCTTTACTGTTCTTCCACAGGCCAATGAAGACTCATTTTGGTTTTTTTCAGCAAGAATTTAGTCAATGGACTTCCATGTTGTGTGTTGCGTATAGTTAATATTCTTTTTCTTAATGGTGATCTTCTCAATTGGGTCTTCTTTCCCACTTCTTCATTCACCAGATGAATATGAATACTGACATGAGGTTGGCAGCTGCAAATGAGGTTTTCATGAAACGTGAATTTTTGGTGGGCTTCACCAATCTTCCAGACAAGCATCACAGCGTTCCACATGTATCCTTTCTGTCCAAGACAAGAAATGCACAAATCTACATAAGTTGGCTTTGCTAAATCCCTAAAGAACGCATCTGTGAGTTTACCTCAGATTGAGTCATTTTGGGAATACTGTGCAAGACGTCCAAGAACACCTTTCTTTATATGTTGTGGTGTGTTTCCAAATTAAGTTTTCCAAAGACGTGTGCCTTTTCACTTTTCATCCTGCCCTTCCTGAATTCCCTAGTTTGCATCTGACAACCAACCTATGGGGTAGGTCACACCAAGTCTCTGTTAATTTTCGGTTGTTGTAGGTTTTTTTCGGGCTATATGGCCATGGTCTAGAGGCATTCTCTCCTGACGTTTCACCTGCATCAATGGCAAACATCCTCAGAGGTAGTGAGGTCTGCTGGAACTAGGAAAAAGGGTTTTTATATCTGTGGAATGACCATGGTGGGACAAAGGACTCTTGTCTGCTGGAGCTAGGTGTGAATATTTCAACTGACCACCTTGATTAGCATATAATGGCCTGACAGTGCCTGGAGCAAACTTTTGTTGAGAGGTGAACTGATTAGATGTTTATTTTATTACATTATGTATTTTGTTATGTTTAATTTTCTATTGTTTTGTATATTATTTTCTTGTATTATTTTTGGGCTCGGTCTCATGCTAACTGCCCTGAGTCCCCATTGGGGGGATGGTAGCGGGGTATAAATAGTATTATTTCTAGTTGTCCCCTGCCACGCGTTGCTGTGGCTCACATGGGGGTTCTGTATGGGAGGTTTGGCCTAATTCTATCGTTGGTGGGATTCAGAATGCTCTTTGATTGTAGGTGAACTATAAATCCTAGCAACTACACCTCCCAAATGTCAAGATTCTATTTTCCCCAAACTCCACCAGTGTTCATATTTGGGCATTTTGAGTATTTGTGTAGAGTTTGGTCCAGATCCATCATTGTTTGAGTCCACAGTGATCTCTGGATGTAGGTGAACTACAATTCCAAAATCAAAGGACACTGCCCACCAAACCCTTCCGGTATTTTCTATTGGTCATGGGAGAACTGTGTGCCAAGTTTGGTTCAATTCCAACGTTGGTGGGGTTCAGAATGTTTTTTGATTGTAGGTGAAATATAAATCCCTGCAACTACAACTCCCAAATGACAAAATCAATTTTTTGAGTGAAGAACATACATTGGGTTGTTAGGTGTCTTGTTTCCAAATTTGGTGTCAATTCATCCAGTGGTTTTTAAGTTCTGTTAATCCCACAAATGAACATTACATTTTTATTTATATAGACTAGCCGTCCCCTGCCACGCGTTGCTGTGGCCCAGTCTGTATAAATGTTTTGTGTGTGTATATGTGTGTATATGTGTTTATATGTGTGTTTGCATATAGATAGATAGATAGATAGATAGATAGATAGATAGATAGATAGATAGAGAGATAGATAAAAATGTAATGTTTGTTTGTGGGATTAACATAACTCAAAAACCACTGAACAAATTGACACCAAATTTGAACACAATACACCTATCAGGCCAATGAGTGTTCATCACCCCTATAAACACACACAAAAACCCAGCAGAACAGACTTAAAACCCTCCAAAATAAACTATGTATTCATATACACATACACTCATATACATATACACATGCACACATGCATACACACACACACACACACACACACACACATATATCTCCATCTATCTATCTATCTATCTATCTATCTATCTATCTATCTATCTATCTATCTATGCAAACACACATATATACACATATACACAAATATATAGATAGATGGGAGTATATGTGTGTGTGCATATGTGTGTACACATGTATGTATATATTTGCATTTCTGTGTTTATATGTGTATATGTACATTGTGTATATGTGTGTGCTTGTGTATATATGTGTGTATGTATGTCTATATGTATATGTGTGTATGTGTGCAAGTGTATATATAAATATATGYRTATGTCTGCATGTATGTGAACATGTGTATATGTATGTGTATATTTGTGTGTGCATGTGTATATATATGTGTGTGTGTGTGTGTATGTATGTGTGCATGTGTATATGTATATGAGTTTATATGTATACATATATATAGTTTTTTTGGGKTTTTTTAAAGTCTGTTCTACTGGGTTTTTGTGTGTTTTTAGGGGTGATGGACACTCATTGGCCTGATAGGTGTATTGTGTCCAAATTTGGTGTCAATTCGTCCAGTGGTTTTTGAGATATGTTAATCCCACAAACGAACATTACATTTTTATTTATATAGATTATATTATGTTTAGTCTGAAAGTCCAATGGCCTCTCTGTTGGCTTCTGTACAGCACACTGTTCTGTACAGCAAACACTCTACTGAAGTCTAAACTGTACTATTACAAAATGGAGTCTGAGTCTTGAACAAGCCCAGACCTGGTCACATGGTCTGCAGCCCCTCCCACATCAAAGAGTTAAGGTATACACATATGCAACACAGCAAGCAATTATATACATAACAAATAATATAAAGGATTAAGGGACTACCTTATTATGATTCTCACCACTTGCCACCAGTATAACATAACAAGGTAATCCCTCTTATGATCTAACACCAGATATCAATGTATATCACACAGCTGGACACCAATATACAGGATTATATGTAATCTCACACTACTGGACAATAGTGTGAAGGAATCAGGCCCCAGCTGATCTACATTGAGGTAGCGATATGATGTTAGATGTGTGTACTGGTAGAGTGAACATTGCTTCAGTCTTCTTTTGGTTTATTGCTGCCACCACCCAAACTGCCTTAGGATTTTAAAATGAGTTTCTGAGATAACCTTTTCCCTTCTCTGCCAACACAACTCTTCCCTTAGCTCCCAAAATGACTGTTTGGATAAGAGACCTTTCTGTGGTATTATGATATTAAACTGACTGGAAAATCTACTCCAGAATTACCGATGGAACGAGTAACGATAGAGGCTTCTTCAAAAGTTGTATAGAAAAAAGTTTTATTTATAAGAACAAACAGACAATTGACTTCTTCTTTTAAGAGGCACAAACGCTTGACTTGTTACTATAGTACAATATCTTAATGGTTGCTTAAAAAGAGTTTCTTGACTTGGTTACAAACAAAATCCCTCACTCTACTTCAGCGAAATAGCAATGAGTTCTTGACTAACCTATCCCAGGCTGTCTTCTGAGCAATTAGCTAACTCTCACCAGAGTCCTTTACAGCTAATTTACTCCACCTAGAGAGCAAACCCCTTGTGTTGTCATCCACAAGTAATCAGGAGGCTACTTGACCCTTCTTGCCAATTATGCAGCCCTGCCTGACACAAACACACTCTCTCAGAAAAACCTAGTCTCAAAAGCACTTCTTCCTTCAGTTCTCAAATCCCAACTTCACTTCTCTCTCAGAAGCTGAAACATTTTCCCTCCCAAGACTTGGCTCCTCCCATTTGCTCTAGCCAATCCCAGGAGATCTCCTCCCATCTTCTAACTATCCACTCTCAAGATGGCTGCTTTACTGGTGGACCCTCTCAAAATGGAGGTTTGTCACACTGTCTTCCCAGGCTTCTACTCTGGCCTATTAGGTAAGAGTCATTACTTGTGGATCTGGCCTATTAGGTAAGAGTCATTACTTGTGGATGCTTGAGAAGGTTGCTATTTCCAATAATGGTCTCTTCCAACTCTATGATTCTGTGATTGATTTCATTGTTCTTCTTCAATAGAATGATAGCCCAACAATAGACTCAGAACTTGACCACCTAGAGCAGTGGTTCCCAACCTTTTTTTGACCAGGGACCACTTTGACCAGGGACCACTCTCCAACATTACCGAAAGGTTTACAAATCAGTTTTTGTTCAACTTCAGATTTGTTTATTTGGGGTGCTGAATCAGAAAATTGCATTGGATAGACTACATCAGCTCTAGTTTCTGATACAGAACGTATGTCATCCAGTAGGGACCATCTAATCGCTCACAGAAAATCATATTTAATCTTCTAGAGCCAGGGACTTTACTTTAGTTCTTGCGGCTCACAGGTTAATAACCACTGACCTAGAGGTTGAGTCTTACCTGACTTACTTTGGGACAGATAGAGATGTTATATGTCCTTGCTACAACCTGACATCTTCTATTTTCAATTTGTGGTGATATGTACACGCCGTGTAAGTCAAATCTGGGTGGAGTGAGCACAAGGAACCCACTAATTAACCGCACACAAGAGCCATAACCCAACTTTAATAGTTCTGGTGAGCCATAATTCTCTATAAACCAACCACAAGAGCCACGATGCAACTAGGCCTGTTTGATCAAGAAAAAATTTGTTTCTAAAATCGATTTGTAATTGGGGTGTTTTTTTGTTTCGATATTTAAAATAATTACAAAACTTTCCCCAAAAAAAGTTTTGGTATTTAAGAAATTTTGTAAATATTAACGAATTTTTAGAATATTTTTGGTATTTCTTAAGAATAATATTAAAATAATATTAAAAAATATTTTAAAATGGAAAATTAACCAAAAAATGGCCCAAATGTGGACCAAACACAGGCAGGATACAGCAAATGAGAGCACACACCAACAGAAGAGTCTTTTCTTTTTTAGAATATTTTTTAAAATAATATTAAAATAATATTAAAAAAAAATATTAAAATAATATTAAAAATATTTTAAAATGGAAAATTAACCAAAAAATGGCCCAAATGTGGACCAAACACAGGCAGGAGACAGCAAATGAGAGCACACACCAACAGAAGAGTCTTTTCTTTTTAGAATATTTTTTAAGAATAATATTAAAAAATTAAAATAATATTAAAAAATATTTTAAAATGGAAAATTAACCAAAAAATGGCCCAAATGTGGACCAAACACAGGCAGATACAGCAAATGAGAGCACACACCAACAGAAGAGTCTTTTCTTTTTTAGAATATTTTTTAAGAATAATATTAAAAAATAATATTAAAAATAATATTAAAAATAATATTAAAATATAATATTAAAAAATATTTTAAAATGGAAAATTAACCAAAAAATGGCCCAAATGTGGACCAAACACAGGCAAGAGACAGCAAATGAAGCAAGCAGCACTCACAGCAGCAAGGAATGAATCCAATCCCAGTTGCTAGCAGCCAAGCCAACCCAATGCAAACTCCCTCGCCCTCTGCAGCAAGCTACGGGCCGCGCGGAGCCGCTTTGAAAGGGTTCGCCGGCCAATCAAAAACAAACAGCCACGGACCCATGGTGCACTGCTTGGGAGCGCCGGATTGGCTCCCAGGCACCAGCACTCCAGCAGCCTCCACCCCATTAACGAAACGAGCGGAGGCTCGTTAAATCTATGGGGGTTGCTGGTTCGATATTTAAAAACCCTTCCGGGTTTGGAAATATGTTTTGATATCGCTTCGGAAATGCTAAAAATAACGAATTAATAACGAATTAACGAATTAACGAACGAAACCGCACAGGCCTACTAAACAGCTCTGTTGTGCCATGACAAAAACATAGTGTGTTTTAACTTTCCTATACTCCATTCAGCTGTGGTTTATCCATTACAAGGTGGAACCCTGCCTTCAGTCCTTGGCAGACACTTTGGTCCACATGAAGAGGAACCAGGGGGTGAGTTGTTTCCGTTCTTGCCTTGAGGCTGACGATCTGCAGAAGATACACTCACAAAACCACAATTACTACAAAGAGAGATGGACAAGCAAGGAAGTCTACCTTACAAGATAGAAGCGAATAATTGTGGCATTTTTCCACATCTAGATGAGAACACAAAGCTTTCTTTACAGTTCCTGATTGGTCTTCATACTTTGAGATGTATTTTTCTGTGTAATTGAATGGTACACTATTTTGTAATTAAGAAAACACACTTATTTATTTATTTACAGTATTTGTATTCTGTCCTTCTTACCCTGAAGGGGACTCAGGGTGGATCAAAATGCACACATACACAGCAAACATTCGATGCCACTTTTAGACATACAAGACAGACAGATAGAGGTATTTCAGCATTTCCAACTTGCGCCTGGAGGTTATGCTCAATTCCGGCCACAGGGGGTGCTGTCATTTAATCCACCATGATGCCGAGCCCTTTTGATCGTAGTATTTCCTTCTTGTTCTTTGATCGCCGGCATTCTGATGGTGTCATAAAATACCTCCCCGCTTTAAGCAGTACCTAATTTCTCTACTCATGGCTCAGCTGTTTTCAAACTGCTTAGGTGGACAGTATGCTAGGCTTAACAGCCGGGTGCTCAATCCAACCCGGACTTTGAACTTGCCACCTTCTGGTTGGCAGTGATCTGTTGCTGCTAGTGATTAACCAGAAATGCTACATCCTGGCATAAATATACATGGATGAGATTCTCCATCACAGTATATATATATATATATATATATATATATATATATATATATATATGAGCCCCCAGTGGTGCAGTGGGTTAAAGCACTGAGCTGCTGAGTTTGTTGACCGAAAGGTCGCAGGTTCGAATCCGGGGAGCAGCATGAGCTTCTGCTGTCAGCCCCAGCTTCTGTCAACCTAGCAGTTTGAAAACATGCAAATGTGAGTAGATCAATAGGTACCGCTCCGGTGGGAAGGTAATGGCACTCCATACAGTCATGCCAGCCACATGACCTTGGAGGTGTCTATATATATTTTATGCCATCCCCTGCCATGCGTTGCTGTGGCTCAGTCTGGTGATCTGGAAAATAAAGTAATGAGAAAGTGCTGGTTTCCAATATATGTAATTTCTTTATACTTGTGAGTAAACAGTATTTCTTGCTGTTTCTTTGTCAGTGTTGATGTGGAGAGTGTCTGGTTTTCCCACCCTGGAACATGCAGCCTATCATTGTTCTTCTTTAAGGGTCCCTTTCAAATCTATGATACTGTATGTGTGTGAATCATATCTGTCTGTCTATCTATCTATCTATCTATCTATCTATCTATCTATCTATCTATCTATCTATCTATCTATCTAATCTATCTATCTATCTATCTATCTATCTATCTATCTATCTATCTATGGCTGGATAGCAGTTTGTCAGTAGGACTTTGGTTACGTTTTTGTTGCCCTGATGAAGGGAGTTGGACTGGATGGACTTAAAGCAGTGTTTCTCAACCTGGGGGTTGGGACCCATGTGGAGATCATAAATGGGTGTCAAAGGGGTCACCAAAACCATCAGAAAACACAGTCATGGGGTCATGGGGGTTCTGTCTGGAAGGTTTGGTACAATTCTATCATTGGTGGGGTTCAGAATGCTCTTTGATTGTAGGTGAACTATAAATCCCAGCACTGACAACTCCCAAATATCAAGGTCTATTTCCCCCAAACTCCTTCTGTGTTCATATTTGGGCATATGGAGTATTCGTACCAAGTTTGGTCCAGATCCATCATTGTTTGAGTCCACAGTGCTCTCTGGGTGTAGATAAACTATAACTCTAAAACTCAAGGTCAATGCCCACCAAACCTTTCTACTGTTTTCTGTTGGTTTTGGAAGTCCTGTGTGCCAAGTTTGGTTCTATTCCATCATTGGTGGAGTTCAGAATGCTCTTGGATTTTAGGTGAACTATAAATCCAAGCAACTACAAGTTTCAAATGACAAAATCCATTCTTTTGTGTGATGGTCACTCATTGGGTTGTTAGGGGTATTCTGTCCAAATTTAGTGTCAATTCATCCAGTGGTTTTTGAGTCCTGTTAATCCCACAAACGAACATTACATTTTTATTTATATAGATAAACACAAACACACAGGCAAAGATAGGTTGACTTCCAACCTTCCCCACAATAACTATTTTTGTGTGTTGACTGCCTTGAAGTTGTTTCTGAGCTATGGCAACCCTAAGGCAAATCTGTGATGGCTGTTGGCTTTCATGCCAGTGGGAAGTTGTATTTTCACATCAAAAGGCAATATGCTTGCATTTCAAAATGAAATGCCTCTTTTAAAAACAGAAAATGGTGCAGTTTGTGTGCCGTAGTACCATCATTGGAATCAATTTTTTTCCTCCTTTCATTTCAGTCTACATGGAAGCACAACCTGGACAAACTCTGCCTTGTAATAGAGAGCCCTGTCATCTCTGCTCTGGGAAACAAACCAGCCAGCACTTTGGAAGAGACCCCACTGTTATCTGAGAGAAGGAATAGCAGTAGAGGAGTCATTACATATCGGGAGCCTCTCCGTCTCATCCCCGATGGAGCCCCAGAAGTAAGGCTTGCTTTGTTAGAAGTACAATTAATATGGCATGCATTCCTCCTCCTCCTCATCCTCTTCCTCTTCCTCTTCTTCTTCCTCGTCTTCTTCTTCTTCCCCCTCCTCCTCCTCCTCTTCTTTCTCATCTTCCTCTTCTTCCTCCCCTCCTCCTCCTCTTTCTTCCTCCTCCTCTTCTTCTTCTTCCTCTTCTTCTTCTTCCCCCCTCCTCCTCCTCTTCTTCTTCCTCTTCTTCCTCCTCTCCTCCTCCTCTTCTTCTTCTTCCTTTTCTTCTTCTCTATCTTCTTCTTCTCTTCTTCTTTCTTCCTCCTCCTCTTTTCTTCCTCTCTCCTCCTCTTCTTTCCTCCTCCTCTCTCTTTTCTTTCTCCTCTCTTCTCCTCTTCCTCCTCTTTCTTCTTCCTCCTCCTCCTCTCCTTTTCTTCTTCCTCTCCTCTTCTTCTTCCCTCCCTCCTCTCCTCCTCCCCTCTCCTCTTCTTCTTCTCCTCTTCTTCCTCTCTTCTCTTCTTCTTCTTCTCTTCTCTTCTTCTCTTCTTCTCCCCCTCCTCCTTCTTCTTCTTCTTACTCCTCCTCCTCCTTCCTCCTCCTCTCTTCTTCCTTCCTTTCTTCTTCCTCCTCCTCTTCCTCTTCTTCCTCCTTCCTCTTCTTCCTCTCCTCCTCTTCTCCTCCTCCTCTTCTTCTTCATCCTCCTCTTATTATTCTTCTCCTCCTCCTCCCTCTCCTTTCTTCTTCTTCCTTTCTCTTCTTCTCCTCCTCTTCCCTCCTTCTCCTCCTTCTTCTTCTCTCTCTCTTCTCTTCCTTCTCCTCCTCTCCTCTTCTCTCCTCCTCTTCCTGCCTCCTCCTCCTCTTCTTCTTCTTCCTCCTCCTCCTCCTCCTCCTCCTCCTCTCTTCTTCTTCCTCTTCTTCTTCTTCTTCCCCTCTCCCCCTCCTCCTCTCTTCTTTCTCCTCCTCCTCCTCTCTTCTTCCTTCTCCTCCTCCTCCTCCTCCTCCTCTTCTTCTTCTTCTTCTTCCTCCTCCTCCTCCTCCTCCTCCTCCTCCTCTTCTTCTGTGCAAATAAAGGCTTTGTTTATATGTGTGTGATTCTGTGTCAGTGGCGCATATGAATCCATTTCAGGACTTACTCTGGACTTTGAAACAGGGCAATTTGGAGGCATTGAATGGAGAAGTGAATTGTTTTTATGGCTCATGTCATGGGGAGGTTGGCTATTGCCAATCCCATCCTAGTCTTTGCCGGATAACACTCTTCAGTAAACATTAACACTTCTTCTTCCTTTTTTTCAGGAGATGGCCCAACATCTGTTGACAATCTTCAGTGGCTACTACGTCAGGCTGTTGGTCAGTGGTCAGCTTCCAAGGGTCCCCTCAGGATGGCATGTAAATCTTGCCCATGTCCCATGCCTCTGTCAATTCATTGAAACCACAGTGCTGGGGAAGAGATCTTGAAGTAAGAAGAGTCCAATGAGTTCTTACAATCTCCATGTGTGAATTCCAGTTGAAGATCACCCTCTGACACAAAAGAAAGAGAATCAGACAAATCTACAGCTTGGAAAAAAACCCAACAATGAATGACCTTCTTCATATGTTGGTAACTGTCATCGTTTTGATACAGTCAAACCAAAATGGAGATTGTCATCAAGAAGTCTGAAGAAGAATACAATTTGAAATACCAACTACCGAGTATTAGATCCTCAAGCGTAAAGATATATCACTTAGATACCAAAATCAGAAGCATCCATCCCATAGCATTTCTAATTTCTATGGGCATCAAATCTAACAGAAACAGGATCAACACAATTGAAATGTAGTTCTGGAGGACAGTACTACGGATACAATGGACTACCAAAATGACTAATAAATGCATGTTTGAACTCTCCGTAGAAAGCAAAATGACTCGATTGACACTTTTGTGTTTTGTCAATAGCATGGAAAGGCATGATCCATTAAAAATTATACAATAAGACCTATTGAAGTGGGAGGCTATAGGAAAAGAGAAGTCACAAGGTGTCTTGGGAGACCTCTTTTTTATAGAGCTGTGTAGCGAGGGAGGGAGACTATTTCTTTATTTAAGAAAAACCTCTTTACTCTTTTTACATTTGCTGGGACTTTCTGTGTGCTGTTAAACCTTTGTACAGGCACTGAGACACACTTCTGTATAACAAAGTAACACAGTTTATTTATAACTTCGGGCTCCAAACACTTGTGGTTACATTTGTGTTTTGTTGCAATCTTGAGACTTACAGTCAGTATAATATACTTGGTTTACTTTTCTGAAATAGACTTTCAATGTTTCTCATTCACAAACATGTCACTTGCTTTACACACTCTTGACTGAAATTATGTTCTGACTAAAGCACCACTGGCTTTCTTTATGTTCCTAATAACCTGAGCTCTATTTGACTAACTGCTTATTTCTAACAGGAGTTCCTAACTCTTTTCTCTCACAGAAGTTCCTAACTGTCTCTCACAAACAGGAATCCCTAACTCTCTAACTGTACCTCACAAACAGCAATTCCTAACTAACACTTTTGACTCTCTAACTGCCTATTTTTAAACTTTGGCTCCGCCCCTTTGGAATGTTTAGCTCGGCTCTCCCCAACTGTCATTTTGGCCTAGCAACCTGTTCAAATCTCTGGGCCTACGCTAATCTGCATATGACCAATTGGCTTCCATATGCAAATGAATCCTATCTCTGCTGTTGCTACCCTGTCTGTGCCTATTCTTCCCTATCTGCCATATGTAAACATAGAGCTATACACCAAATATTTAACATAGAGTAACAATTTCGTTATAAGCTGTCATGAGTCAAAGCCAACTTGATAGCAACAGTAGCGGAAGAAATGTTTGAAAAGACATTCCAGCTTTGTTTTAAGTAGGAATCAATTACTACACCAAACCAAGAGAGCATGTTTAGCTGAGTAGGACTTGTGGAAGCTCTCCAAGGTCCTGGATAGACATATGAACACAGTGTTGCCAGATCTTTCTGTTCTTTGTTTACTGTAGTCATCTTGTTTGCCATGAGAAGTGATGCAGGAAACATCTCACAGGAATGGTGTGGGATGAAGCCACTGGACTGACTCCAGCGAGATGATTAAAGCAATACATCTTTCAGACCAGACAATAAGAATGTAAAGCATTTCTGGAGTGAGGATAGAAGTTGATTTTAGATGGGCTGAAATTGGATGCTTGCAGTGTTACGAATAACCTTTCAATAACTATAAAGTATTGGGGTTTTTTTTGCAATTTTCCAGTAAGTGAAAGGGTATCAGAACTTTTACAGAACACCATTCAGACATACAGATTCTATGTAACTTCTGAAACGCCAAAATGCTTCCTCTTTCCTTTTCCCTGAGAAACAAGTGACCAGACTACTGCTTTCCATTGCGGATCTGCCACTTTTCCAAAGGTACACCATCTCTTTCAATAGAGCATGGTGGGTGAACAGCGCAGCTGTCTGTCACAATTTTTGGATTGTAATAAGGTCTCTTATATAGCAATATTTCTTGCTGATGTTGTTCCAAGGTTATCAATGAATGATAGATGTTTTTCCAGTCTGAAATATCCTGGCTTCATCTTAGTTCCTGGGCAGATGTTTTCTTTGTTTAATTGGTGTTGGTAAACATAAGGTGTTTTGTGTTGACTTCCTTATTTTAACGTAAGGAATCTTGTAAACATTTCCTTAATTTGAAAAGCCATTGCCTCAGATAATGTAAACAGAGATAATTTTCTTTATAGTTAATCCAGTTTCTGGTCAGCAAATGTTGACAGATCTAAAAAAAAGATGTATTTATTTATTATTTATTTATTTGCAGTATTTATATTTCACCCTTCTCACCCCGTAGGGCAGTGGTTCTCAACCTTTCTAACACTGGGACCCCTAAATATGGTTCCTCATGTTGTGGTTACCCCCAACCATGTTGTGATGACCCCCGACCTCGCCTGCCCTGCGCCCTCGCTGGATGGTGAGAGTGCAAGGCATGTGAGGCGGGCTTTGGACGAGGCCAGGCCTCGTGTGAAGGAGCCCTCGCCTGGCCTGCACCCTTGGGGTGAGTCCAATGGAGGTGGCCTCGTGACCCCTACAAAATGACCAAGTGACCCCCCTGGGGGCCACGACCCCCAGGTTGAGAACCACAGGGCGGATTACAATCTATATATATAACAACCTTATGGTCATCGTTAGTGGCCTAAAAACAAAGAAACTATGAGGCCAACTGACATCAAATTTGGCCAACTGACATCAAACTTCTCATACCGCAAGGTATGACCAACAATTAAAAAAATACCAAAACAATGAAACCAGCTTTACAATTCTTAAAAAAGAAAATATACCTTACCACGCATGTGCAAAACCTAGCCCCGCCCATCCATAGCAAAGCAGCTTGGCTGCTTCGGCAGCCAAGCCCAGAAGAAACAGCCCACCAAAGCTGCTCTGAAAACCAGCCTTGAGAGCTTTCTGAGAGAGAGAGAGAGAGAGAGAGGGAGGGAGGGAGGGAGAAGGACAGACAGAGGGACAGAAGAAGCCAAGAAGCAAGCAAGCCTTTTCCATCGGTCAGGCAAGGAAGGCGAGAGGGAAACAGAAGGGAGGGAGGGAGGGAGGAGCCATGCCAGGAGGAGGCTACACAGGCCTCCAAAGAGACACAGGCTTCAGTAACACATCTCATACTCCATGCTTGGGCCTAATTGGGCCCTCCAGGCATTTTGGACTTCAACTCCCACAATTCCTAACACCCATGCTGTTCTGGCTGTTAGGAATTGTGGGAACTGAAGTCCAAAATGACTGGAGGGCCCAAGTAAGCCCAGGCCTACACACATATACAAACAACACACACATGCATATATCTACACAAACTCATATGCACTCATATATAGGTAAAGGTAGTCCCCTGACATTAAGTCCAGTCATGTCTGACTCTGGGGTGTGGTGCTCATCTCCATTTCTAAGCCGAAGAGCCAGC